CTCCACCAGCAGAGCTACATCAGAGCTCGGCAGCGCTGTTGTTTATTCTGGCTTCTCTCAGGGTGACTTTCTGGGTGGGTTTCTTTGGTTTTGATTTTTTACTATTCAATTGTTGGACTCTTCTCAATTTGTACTTCTGGATCTGCTGAAGAAATATGAGTGCTGTATATCATGGGGTTTAGGGCCTCTTGCACTAATTAGCTTGTAACTTCAGTTTTGCTAGATTTGGTACTTATTTTACTGTAAACACCCATTTGTTCCACTGGGTAGCAGAGCTCTCTGAACATCTGGGAGTCATCATGTGTCATGAATGACATGATGTATCCTCACTGTTAGACCAGCACAATGCTAGATCTGATGGATGGAAGAAATGTGTCAGGGTGAAGATTAATATACACTTTGGTTTGTGACTTGTGACTCACTGGGTAAACTTTGTTCTCTCTTTGATGGGACAGATCCAAGATCTGCGTTTTTCCTCTCCCATTTTGGTCCTGGTTTATAACACAGAAGCTTGAACTAATGAGACCAGAGCTTTTGCTGGCTGGACCAGAACCCTTCACATCTGTCTGGACCAACATGCCTAAATAAATCCTCTCTTTGTATGGCACAGCTGGCTCTCTGCTGGAGATGGTTTGATACCCTCAGGCTGGATAACCAGCAGGAATTTGGTAAGATTTGCTCCTTGCTGAGCCTTTGGAAGTGCACATCGTATACAATATCCTCTTCGAGCGTCCTCTGGCTGGAGGATTAAAGAAAAACCTGTCCTGACAAAACAAACCCAGCAGTATTTGATTTCCCCATTAAAAAGAAAGCCTGGAGTTCCAGCAGTTTGTCCCCAGACTGGCTTGAGCAGGGGCTCCAGTCTGGCCAGTGGCAGCACCACCAGCAACGAGGCAAGTCAGGGTTGGGTCCATCCACCTCTCACACAGAACAGAAATGAGGGACTGAGAGACAGTCCAAGGGCTGTGCAAAGCTGAACGCTGCAGAGGAGGCCTCTCCAGGTGCAGAATTCATAAATTTCTAGATAGAAGCTCTGGGAACTTGAAAAGGTCACTCACTGTCTTGTTATACCCTTGTTGTGTTTTTTTTCTTTTTTTTTTTCTCCTTTTGTATCTTGTACCAGATTTGATTTAATTTCTCAAAGCATATTTCCCTTTCTAGAAATTGCATTCACTCCCCTTTTTGGCCTGGTGTATCACTGTTCCTTCTTACATATTTGGTAAGCAGGAAAGAAAAAATTGAGACGTTATTAGTGTCTGCTCAGAGCTGGAACTGTTGTGATGGCCATTAGAAGGGAAATGTGGCATTTTGTCTGGGAAGTTTGTCAGAAGGAGGTCAGAGACAAGTGAGCAATAATGAGGCTCTTGAAACCAGTCTGCAGGTGCAGAGCAGTAAAATAAATAGGCAGGTGCAGAGAGTGAGTTTTTAATCAGAGTCTTGGCAGGGATCTCGCTCAGGGACTGCCTCGTTTGGCTTCTGTGCAAAGGAGGAAATTCAGTGGCAAAGGACTCAAATGCAAACTGCAGCTGACACTTGTGCACCATGGAAGGTTCAGGGGGTTTCCTCTTTTATTCTCAATGCCCTAGTCCTGCAAAGTTGAAGGCTTATTGCTTGCAGAGGGAATAAATAAATATGACTCCTTGTCCTTCTGAGGATAGCTGGCTCTAATCTAGAGATGAATGCATATGTCAGCGTTCTCCATAAATACTACAACTTAAAAACCCTACATTTTCAGAGAAATTTGCTTTAGCAACAGTTGTGATTTATTTTGGGTTCCTTACCAGGAAATATTTGAGCAGTTGAATCATAGAACCATCTTGGGTTGGAAGGGACCTTAAAGATCATCTAGTTCCAACCCCACTGCCATGGGTAGGGACAGCCTGTAACAACACCAAATTTCAGTGTTTTGTGTAACAAGTGTGTATCAAATTATGACAAAAAGAGAAAATATTGGTATCTTCTGTGCTCTGGGAAAAGGGAAGGGGAAATAAGTAGACAGCAAGAAAAGATTGTGTCATGGTATGGGAGACACAGGGGAACAAAGCATACAACTGATCCAGAACTGCATTTTCTCCAAGGCATTGTTGTGTCTGAGGATGCACATCTGATTCTCAAGCCAAAGCAAGGAATACTTCTTTCTTTCTCCCCAGCAGGGCTATCCCACCACTTCCAATATTTCCTCTGAAAAATGTTAACCCTCTCCCTCTCCCCTCTCAACTGCCTCCTTTTACCGTGGGTAAAATGCCAGTGTCAAACAAAGAAAAGTTTCTTTTGAACCCAGGGCAATGAGAAAATGAAGATTAGCTCAAACCATAAGCTCTCTTGCCAAAAAATCAGGACATACTTAAAAAAGCTATGCCTATAGCTTTTATTATGGGCCAAAACTAACCACCCCAGGTCTATGGCTGAATTTCAGTGACCACAGTCCAGACATGGTGGCTGTGGGGAACTTTGAGACAATAACTACTTTTAGCTATTACCAGTCCCAAAAATGTAATTCGTGACCACTCGTTTTAAGACAACTGCAAGTCACCTGTGGGGAATTTGTAAGGAGAAATATGATGAATTGTCCTGTCCCTTTCTTCAGCCCAGTCTCCTCAGCACTTCCCACTCTGCTGCCTTCAAGCACCGAACCCGGAGCCTCTGCTGCAGCAGCAACTTGTGTTTGTTGACCTGAAGGACCAGAGGCAGGACCTGCAAAGGACAATGTGCAAAAATTTGTGCATGTACCACAGCCACAAAGCCCCTCTTTGGATGCTCTCCCTTTCCATCAGTTTTTAACATGAGCCCACAAGTATCTGCTAGTGAAGCTTTGTAGTTCAGCTGGTCACAACTCCACTACTGAGTGACCTGAGAACCTGAGAAGGTTTTCCCTTCCTCACTCTCTTGTGGATGCATCTTCAGCATCCTGCAAAGATGGCCATCATGATGGCTTGTGTGTCCTGTTGTTTTCACTCATCCAAGTGGTGATTCTCCTTCTTGCCACAGGGCATGTGTAGGGTTGAACCCCCCAGCTGGCTGTGAAGCAGCACCCAGGACCCAAGACATTCCCAGTGGCTACGAGACTGCCTTCCCTGGCAACCCGTCAGGCTCTGGGGTGTGAACTGTCTCTTGGCTCTGCTCGGCTCTGAGGAGGGCCTGCTGCAAGCTGGGGCAGAGCCAGCGTGGCTATCTGATCACAGAGCTCCTCTGCAGCTCTCCACCCCTCCACGTGGGCACGGCGCTCACCGCAGCCCCGCACCGGGCATTCTTGGAGCTGCCGCGTCGGCCTCGGCGGCAGCTCCTTCAGACCCCCTACATCTTCAAGCCCAAAGGGCACTGCAGGAACCTTCTGTGTGGTCTCGCCTCTATGACATTGTTGGTAGGGGTTGTGCTTGTCCTCCTGGCTTGTTTGCAGTAAGAGCTGTGTGGTCTTTGAAGGGCTCTTTGAAGTTAGCGCAGAGTCACGAGGACACAGCTAAGATGAGCTCAGAAAGGCTGATTTCAGGTGAAGCTGGAACATGGTCTTGGTGCTTGCTGCATGTACTGTGCACAAAAGGCACAGGACCAGCAATACATTACAGCCATGCCTGACAAATAGTGTGTGAAAATATTTTAGCTGAGATGAAATTTCTGTTAGCAAACACCTCTTAGAGGCAGAGTAGTAAAAGCTTGGACTACCTACACCTGAAGTTTACCAGGTTTGCTTGTGCTTGCTGTGCTTTTGGGGTAAGCAGAGGAGGGTGAATATCCACCAAAGCTCGAATCTACAGTCTTCGATTAGTTTTCATTTCTCCACATTCACACATTTTGAGATCCATACACTGCTCCAGAATTTATGGCATCTCCTGGGAAAGCCACTCATCATCTTCGTGCCAATGTTTCGTATTAGATGAGGATGTCAGCAACACAGCGGGCCAGAAATTCAGAGGTGCTCCCACTAAAATTATAGGACCTACAGCAATGTTAAATACTTTGGTTGTGTTGTTTTTCTGTTGCTGTGAATGTAATCATCAGTCATATCAGTACCCAAGTTAAGTACCTAGGAAGCAACAACCATTCTTCAAAAGAAAACTTCCAGTAGGACCAATCTGTGATGGGTTCTTAACCTGGCTCTCAAGGTCAGGTTGGAGGGGGCTTTGAGCAATCTGATCTAGAGAAGGGTGTCCCTGCCCAAGGCAGGGGGGCTGGAACTGGATGATCTTTGAGGTCCCCTCCAACCCAAACCATTCTGTAATTCTATGAATTATCTCTACTGCTTTATCCTGATACTGTCTCATTCCTCACAGACCCCATTGGATCAAAGTAGTTCTTTGGAAAACTTATAAGAGGGTAAATTGGAATGTCTGAAGAAGGGGGAGGCAGAAGCCGTTTGATAGCAGGGTTTGATGATAACAGCCAAAGGAAGGCACTGTATTCCAAATGTAATGTTGTAAGGATGCTGGCCCAGCAGTTTTAGGCAGAGAAGGACTTTTTGGAATGATGATAAATTGGGATAGTTTGGCACACTTTCTGTGGACAAGCAAAAGGAAAGAGAAAAGTTAGGAATGGCTCTTGAACTTTGCTGGTGGGCAGCTTGGTTACAAACCCCTCCTGTAGCTCTCCCATGTGGATTTAGGAGGGCTGGTTGAAAATACCCAGCTTAAACTCCGTGGAATTTCTGAGCAGTGTTTTTGAGGATAATGTGACGAATCTGTGGAATATGGTCCTTCCTATGAACAGGAACATGCAACATTTTCCTCCATTCTATAATTCTCCTGATAACCCTCTCTTTAAAGGCTGCCTCTCTTGCCACACTGTACAGGGCACGTGAGTGTGGAAAGTCATTTGTTTTCTTCATAAATGCCAAGTGAAAGCTTCTATTATAGATTGCTTTGCAAGGCAGCTCCAAGAAATGACAGCAAGTATTAATAAAGCTTACTTAATTGATATTAGCATAAATGTAAAGCCAAATAATATCAGTATCAGTTCTGGAACAGTTCCATGGCATGCTCCTTCACATCTGTGTTTATCTCTTTCAGGTGATCTCAGGAGAATGCTCAGGGGGAATTCAGGGACGAGAAATTTAATGGCTGCAGTTTTATAATCTTTATCAGACCATCAAGGCTGGAATCGAAAGGTAGGAGTTATCATCTCCAAGAGTTCTGTCATCTCAGTCAACCTTCAAGAGAAAATCATTGCAAGACAGCCTCTGGTAAGTCTGTGAATTAATTCAGGTTTGGGGGATGTTCTATCCTTTGTGTTGTGTTAACACCCACAAGCTCTAGTCACGGATCAGGAATTTTCTGTGATAAACACTCTAAAACAAAATGAAAATAAAGGGTTTTCTCCCAGAAACAAACAAACCAACCAACCGAAAAGGGTGGTGTGTTATCTAGCCCACTTCTCACATGAGTTTCTTGCACAGTGTGATCACTGTAAGCTCATATGATGTGGAGAGTGCACCTCATCTTTACAGGGAGCTAGAAACTCTGAAAGTTGGGATAATCCCAGGTTTTTCCCATGTAACAGAAGTCTTGGAGAATGTACATGTCAGCATGTGGTGGTCGAGGTGGTCTGATTAGGAGGGGAACAATCTCTGGGACTGCAGGTCATGAGGAATGTCTGTCTTTACCCTCCTTTCCTGACAACCTGTGCTGTTCCGTGATAAATACTCATTGTGGACGAGAGCAATAGGCATTATTCTGTGGATTTAATTAATTCCCAACTCTTTATCTAATTTAGTGGAAAGAGGTTGGAAAGTTATTAGAAAGAGGAGTACTGCTGGGTTTCCGTGGACCTCACAACCCTGGCCCTGGAGCACTTTTGGAAGTCCAGCCCCTCCTCAGCTGCAGAGTTGGGAGCTGAGCTGCTGCCTCTCTATCCCTGGTTGTCTAAAATAGAACATGAGCTAATCCAAGCTGTAGCCAGCAAGAGCAGAGAGGGAAAGGGCAGTTGAAAGGCTCAGTGGTGCCCAGGTTACCTGGGACTGTGTGCTCCATGCCCTGTGTCAGCCATCCCAAGCAGATGGCTGCTCCGCTCGGGGCTGCCCACGTGGACAGCGGGGTTGGGCGGGGAGCTCACATACTGTGCTGGGGACTGCACATCTGGTCAAGGTCTTGAGCTTTGTTTCTCCCTGGGAGCCTGCTTTGGGACTTCAGAAGCACATCCTCAGCTTCAAGCCAAGGGCTGTCTTTGTTCCATGAGGCTGCCCCAGCTGGAACCTGTTGCTGGTTGACACAGTCAGATCTTATATTGAGACTCTTATATTCTTTGGCATATTACACTGCGTTTACATCTTTTAATTCACCCCAGTAGACAGATGGGTTATTTTAAGAACCATGTGTAAGAGCTTTCATTAAAACCATTACAGGACACCAGATGGGGATGCAGAATTGACAGCAACAGGGCTGCCTGCTACCATGTTGGACTTGGGAAACATTCCCAAGCATTTAGCCCTTCTTGCCACTCTGCTTTCCTGCACCATGGGGATCCAAACATTTCTGGGTTTGAGTTATATTTCTGTGAACCCATTGAAATGTATCTGAATTTCCTCATCTGAGTTTTCCAGGTCACATAATTTCTGAATTACACTTGGCACGGCAAATGGGATTTTGGTGGGAGTGTTTTATGATAAAGAAACATCAAATGAAATGGAAAAGAAAGGTTAACTTATAAGTTTTGCCTTTAAGTAAACAAAAAGAAAGGAATTGACTGAGAATTTTCAGTAAATTAATAAACAAGACTCATTAAATAACAATATCACAGAGGTGTTCTCATGGATACCAGCACCTCAGTACCCTGGGTCTAGAGAGGGTGACAATGGTCTTAAATAAATAAATGACAGAGGGATACGTTTCAAAAAGAAGTAGATTAGTGGATCTAGTAAATCTTGACCTATTTGACTTAGATGCTTAAGCAAGATGTATTTAAAAATCTCTGGTGTGTAGAGTTTGGGCTGGAAGTCTTGAGAACTAGATTGTCATGTCAGCTGTTCTTCTGGCCACAGCAGTTACTGAAAGACAGCCAAAGTCTTTGTGACAGTAGTTGTGGGGTTTTTTAATTTATGAGTCTGTCTCAGTGAATTTTTGTCAGATGTCAGTCTTTCCTGCAGGTAAAAACACAATGCTTTGCTTCAGTGTTATCGAAGGATCCAATGTAACATGTTTCTTTGAAATTATTTTTATATGAAAAGGACCTAAACTATAAAAGGTTTCCAGAAGGGTTAAGTGATCTGAAAGGAAACTCAAGAACAATTGAGGCTATGAACATTAATTTATTTTAACATTTTTTCTGAGTGAAAAAAATACTGTGTTTTAGTTCAACATCTGAAGCCCAAAAATCTGTTCTAGCCCAAAGATAGCATTGGTATAGTTTCCTATAGCTAAAAGTACTTGCTTGTGATTTTTTCATGATGTCATAATATAATGCTCCGTTGCAACTTATTTTAATTTATCTGGCTAATTGTTGGATAATACAAACACTTGTTTATGTTGAATTTTGCGAATTCTGTATGAGGAGAGAAAAATTAAATTTTCTATTTACTATCCCTGTCAAAAAACAAATTTGAATAATTCACCATTCAATGGAACTGGAATTCTGTAACATTTTTTTAGCTGAAATTCTGTTCTTAGAATAGGGAGGAAATATTGACGTTCTTAAAATCAAAATATGCCTTTTTTTGTTGTTGGTATGACTGAATAGTAATTAATTTTTAACCTTGTTAATATTAAACTGTACTTAGGGGCATCCTGTGTCTTAAGGGAGCTTTAGAGTCTGATCAGCTCCTCCCTTCCTCTGCGCACCCACCCCCCGCTGATCCGTGTGACACCTGACATCCCAGTTAACCAGTGCACCTTCATGGCATGCAAAGTGCTCTGTGGATTCCAGGCTGGCAGGACAAGGAATATTTAAATTTACTAAACCAGTGGACTTCTGGATTTTAGTTTTAAAGGAAAATCTCTGAATTCATTTCTGAACTACAACTCAGAAGTGTGCGAGTTTCCCTAAAGACAAACCTTCAGCTCCAGCAGTCACCTATTTTGCCCATTAGACTGCTTTTATAACTCTGGATTCTCTTTCCTTGCTACATTATCTGAGATTCCTGTCTTCAGCCCAGTGCTGGCAGTGTGGCAGGAGGGAGTGCCAGCTGCTCTCTCCACAGGAGCCCATCAGTGGAGCTCCTCGCCCAGCGGAGCGAGCGCTGTAAACACGCGTCTAGCACGCAACCTTCCCTCCCGGTGAACTTTGCCATTGGCTAATTTGTCCCTGCTCTAAGTTTTCTCCTGTGTTTGCCTTCTTCTATAATTTCTTCCTGTAAAGCCTGTGTGGGCTGGCTCCTAGTTCCCGTGCAGTGTGATCTTCTAATCCAGCACTTTCACCTCCGGCTTTGGACATAAATCAGCGGAGAAGTCTCACAGGTTCCATGGAAGGAAGGAGGAACAGAGCAGATATTGAGTTAATGCTATCAAGCTGCCTAAAGTGAGAGGAGAGATTGATAAGAGAAAGCATTGTATTTATAGTTTCTGGCGTATAGCACAGCACAAGTCCTATTTAAATTCTTCAGAAATTAGTATCAGATGACTTAGGAACTTCTGGCGTATTTGAATCTTAAGTGGTTACAGATAGTTTTACTCAGAGTTTCCTTCAGTTGTTATATGTGCTACTTCTTCCTATTCAGTTAAGGCAGGTTGGGAGAGTTTGCAAATTCTTGGGAGAACAGGAAAAAATCGTGCTCGCACTGAGGCTGAATGGCAGCAGGGACACTGATCCTACCTGAGATCCTACATATCTGGTTGCCTTTTTTCTGTGTGTGTGTGTCTGTGCAGGGAGATTTAATTTGCCTGTGTTCAGCCTGGTTTGCCTTTAGTTTCAAAATATTAAGCCTGACCTTGCTGCCATATATGATGTGGGCATGGTAAATATCTACTCAGATAAAGGGTCAGCTTCAAATTAACATGGTTTTTGTCATCAGGAATGGGCTGTGGGAATGAACGGAATGACTGCTTCGCAAAGAGTAGGGAAAGTGAAAAACGCAAGAAGAAATTTCCTTGTAGAAAACGTCAGGCACTGCTGTCACCAGAGCACCGTGAAAACTGTGATGCAAGGGCTGCCAGTGGGTAACTCAGTGCCCAGGCACAGAGCAGAGGGCAGCAGATGGGGAAGGTGTTTTTTCACACCGTGACCGTGGTGCAGTGGCTGGGCCCACCCGCCCCACCACACGGAGAACAGTTCGGAGCATTTCCTGCCTCTTTTTGTTTGAGTTGCCTGTAGCTGTGCTGGGAGCTCAGCCTGCCCCTGATGGGCAGCTTCCAGCTCAGACGGGTGTTTTGGGCACGAAACCCGTTTCCCTCTGGTCTGTGCCCACCCAGCAGCAGCTGAGGGCGGTCGGAGCAGGGCTGTGCCCAGCCTGCCTTCCCAGGGGCTGCAGGGTAGTGCCATGTGCTCTGCCAGCTTTTCAGCCTCCCTGAGGTCTCTGCAGTCCTGAGGGACTAATAACTCATTGGGATGGTTGGAGCTTGACAGGGCCCTGGAGGTTTATTGCTGTAATTCCCTGGCAGTATCTTTCACCCTTGGGGCAGGACAAGTAGGAGTTTCTCCCATAGAATTCTTCTCCTCCAGGAAACACCCAGGCCAGGAGGGCTCTATCCAAGCTCATGCTTTTAGAGACACACACTAAATATTTTTTAGGCTAAGTAAGAAAGAGGTCTGGTAAATGGATTTCTCACTTGCAGGCTCTCAGGGCTGTCTCGTTCGCATTGCCACTGATTGAAAGATCAGATGCAAATGCAAATAAAATAAACAAGTGAACAGATCTTTGCATTTAGAAATAACGAAGTTGGGGAAATCCCCTTCTATCCTTAATCATCAACCCTAAAAGATTTTGAGGCTGATTCTCCTTGACGCCGAGTCAGCATTACCTTGACACAAAGACAGAATAGAAAGTTGTTTTGTGAGAGTGTTTTATATCCATTTTGAGCTGCTATGACTGATGATGAGTAACTACAGAGCCAGGGTGTCTTACTCTATTTTATGGAACCATTGATCTCATTCTCTTAAAAGTGAATTATTAAAGTGATTAATTTTACTCTATTACTCAATTCCTTTTTCTGTAAGTGCAGCCTTTATGTTATGATGAAATTAGCTATAAATATATTGCATTTTATCTAAATGTTGCATCTTACATGGCTTCAAAGAAAACTCTAATGTCCTGAT